GGGTGCTGAGGAATGGAAGCTCGAGGGGAATTCAATATGCCCTGTTAGCACTGAATTCCATTTGCTGTAACAGTGAAAAAATGGTCCTGGAGGCGACTAAAGAAGGAATTTTGGATACTTGTCTGGGATTGCTGGAGGATGATAATGAAAAGATAAGGAGAAATTCATCCAGTTTGATTAAGGTTCTGCGTGGCAACCATCGGGTTAGTTGATAGGAATATCAGAGTACATTGAGAAGCTAGAAAGAGTCAGTTTTGATAAGATTTGTTGTCCGCAGTGGAGGTGAGTCGGGTTATTTGTTCTTTTTATTCTACCTTGTTGGTTAGGTCCTGTATAAAAAGAAGATAATTTTTTATGGTTACAAGGTTCATTTGTATCTTGTACATTGAATATAGATGATGGGGTAGGTCTCTGTTGTTAGCTGTGATGTTAAGAAAGTTGTTTGTTGGTCGTCTTGAATTGTAATCTTCCATAGTTTCAGATTCTTGGTCTTCAAGAAAGTTGCTTGTTGGTTGTCTTGAATTGTAATCTTCCATAGTTTCCGATTCTTGGTCTTCAAGCAATGATCATATATTGGATTAGTCGCGTTATCTTTGAGTTTTCCCAACAATGTATAGGTATACTTTATTGAAGGAATTGTGGGTTGAGTTTCCAATCATGTTTTGTGTCCGCTGAGAAGCTTAAATGTGCTTTTAGAGGCATAGTTGAGTAACTCAAGCCTAATGCCTTTGTAATTTTGAATAAATACTTCCGAACAATTCCGTTGGTTATTTTTTGACAAAAGTTTACTGGATGGAAGAGTCTAATACTGTTGTCTATGTGAGTCATAAATTGAAGTTATAGAAATCCATCTCATGTAGTTAATGCTTTATGCTTGTTATAGTCATGTTGAAGAACAAACATGCAGCGTTGATCTACCAATTTGGCAAAAGGTAGTTTTTGAGTTATTATGATGGATTTTAAATCCCAGTTTGCCAGTGAAAGATTTGCGTAAATAATCTTCTAATCATTTATTTGCAGAATACAATTGCTCAATGGCTGCATTGTGCAGTTGCATGAATCAGTAGAGTAAATTACTTCATTCCTTGCCTTCTATTTATATGATCTACTGATTAACATTTTCATGCTGCCTAGGTCAAACACGAGTTAATAGAACATATTGCATGGTTTTTTTTCCTGAAATAGTCCTTTTTGATTATACATCAGTATCGTCACAAAGTTCTTTATTTTATTATTAGTATTTTTTTCAACTGGTTCTGTGTCTAGTGCTGTTTTGCTCCTAAGCATTTTTATGTGGATCGGTGGGTGGTTGGCAATTAGTAGAGAGCTTGGCTTCGTAACTTTATTGCCTCTATCCTTTATCTTTTAATAAATGGGTCTTCTTGGTGTCTGGGCAGAATTGTGACTACTTGGTCTTTTCACAGCTTGACCTCTCTGCGGGGGGGAAAGTCTTGCTCCAAAGCGTGTAACCACCAATTTTATGTCATTTTAGTTACAACATCTTCTTGTTCCGTCTTTAATGGATGGTTTTCCTGCTCTTGATCTTAAAGTTAGTTGTTAACCATGCTATTATGAAATCCGTGTCAGACTTTGAGAGATTCTTATCTAATCACCACACCTGATGAGCTGCGGATTTTAAGCTTTTCTCCCATATACTAGTAAAAGAGAATAGGCACATCTGAGACAGAGCTATCTGCAAATTCTTTAGGGGGCTAAATAATTAATCAAGTTTATAGTATTTCTCAAGGTTAGCTATGCATTCATTAAAAAAAAACACTAATCCCTGTAATTTCAGCAATTCCCCCAAGCTGCTCTTTTAGTTCAGTTGCCAGATTTGATAAAACAATTTGCGTAGTTGACTGATTAGTCATGAGTTTATCTTAAAATTTCTTAGATATACAGTACTTCTATGGATGTAATTCTTGCTTCTCTGAGTGGAGCAAATCTGATGTGGTAGATAGCATTAGAGCAGAGCACTTGTTTGGCGTTTTCTCTTTTAGTTGCATTAGGCAGGTTAGTTCACCGTTTACCCACCAAATATTGCCATAGTTGGTTAATCATAGGAAGAACAATATGGTCAAAGAATTAATATTTTGGATAACTAGATGTAAAATTGGATATTATATAATGTCCTCGATGTTGATTCATCTGTCACGAGACTAGGTTGGTCAACACCTACTTTCCCCTGTATTTGGCTACTTTTGTTCATGTCTTTGGCCCTTTACCTACTGTATAGAACCTACTTTCTTTAATTCCTGATTGATTCCTTGCGTATTGAAGGAGGCAGAGAGGACTTTTTGATAGCATATTTATTGGATATAACTGCCTTTGATGGACCCCTTTTATTTTTGCCAAACTTGCAGCGACAACAAAATGAATCCCTTTCCCCCTATTTATTTGATTTAATTTCATTTAATGTAATTTTGGAATCTCATTTTGCTCCTGTATCACTTTCATATCATCCTTCATTAGTCTGATCTGGACATGTTTTGAGCAATATCACTACCATCTTATTGCTTTTCTATTCATATCTATCTCAAACTGCGTTTTTTTTTTTTTGGGGTCTGCTTGTTCTGCAGTGGGTTGAGGCTGGCTTACTTTGAATATTTGACATAGCCGGAGTCTAAAGAAAGTAGAATCTATATCCACCTTGTATTTAAATATTGTAAACTTTTCGAGAATATACAAAGTGAATATAGAAAGTATATTTCTAGAGAGGGACGTAAAATATGGTTGTGTATGGAACAAATTTATCATAATTTGGTGGTTTGAATTGATTATTGGACATTGGACAATTTTGGATTTAGCTATGAATATTCCATCTTCGGCCTACGGCAGTGAACAACTGGGGGACTTGATATGCAATAATTGTCATAATTACTTCTAGACCAGGCGTGGTCTACACTTAATCAAAGTATCAATGTCCAATCCTTACTAGCAAAGGAGAGAATTTCAATAAAACCCCACAGAAGCAAATTAATTTAAAATCATGGCTAAATAAATTAGAAATATTGCTGGCTAAAAAGACTATTGCTGGCTAAATGATTTTTATTTTAGTTTTAAATATAGGATCTTAATTTAATTTGTTTCTCATATTTTTTTTTTAAGATAATCCTTATAATAATGACAGTTCTAGCTAATAAATTTAATTAGTAAGGATATTTTAGAAAAGACAATACTTATTTATTATAAATAATTAACTTCATTTATTTTCTTATTCTATTTAAATTAGTCAATTAGCTTTTATATTTAGGATTGGAGGTTGTATGTTTTAAGGAGTAACAAGTAAAATGCCCTCTTTTTTTTTTTTGATACAAGAGAGGGCAAAGCCAAGTAAAGAAAACTAAGTAGGAAGGGAAATGAATCCCACACTCTACAATCATCCGCAAGTGAATCGGACACGAATCCAAAATAGAAAATCTTGAAAGACCCTCTTTCGCCAAGGCATCAGCAATCTGATTCTGTTGTTTTGAAATAACTTGTAACTTTAGTTCCCAAAATGCCCTTCATTTTTATGGGAAAAAGGTTTTGTCCACTTCTTTGTTAGTCGCTAGAGTTGCCATCGCTTGACGAGCCCGCTGGGCGACCATTGGGGCTCCAATAGTAGAATTGGATTAAATCCTCAAAGATGATATGGGGAAATTTAAATCCATGACCCTTTTAACTCACCAAAAAGATAATAATCGTTAGGCAACTAAAGCCTCTTATTATATTGTCCCTTAGTTTGCAAACTTGTCTATCATCGCAAGCAATAAATACTCGGTAAAATGTGAGCTCAGACCTGTCAATCTAAAACCTTTTTACTCGTTAATGTGGGAACTCAGTTGTAAAATGAGAGTTTGGAAGACGGATTTGTTAAAAGTATTAAATGAACTTGTCATTTCAATGGATTTTACTTGTCAATTTGCAAGGATCACTTGTTAGTGTGCTTGAACGCGCAGATGAAGGATTAGTTAAAACTTGAACGTTAATTGAACTTGTTATTTTCAAGGGTGTGCAGAAAAATACTTGTTAACACTTGAACTGACTTATCAATTTAGAATTTTTACTTGTTAATGTATCCAGCTGACCTATAACACATTATTGTTTCTCTTATGTTTGCATGAAATGGAAAAATATGGAAGAAGGAAAAATAATTAATTTCATAATAATAAAAAAAATAATATCCATACAAGCAACGGAACTGCATAAGATCTCAGCATTCAAGTATATTGAGTGTTTGAAGGGTCATTGCCTTTAGCGAGCTTCAATTTCTGAAGTACTCATTCCATTTAACGACCTAAATTCTTCACCAGCAAATGGATTTAATTGATTACAAGTAGTTTTCTTGAAAATAAATCCTGGTTGTTCAGGAGGTGGAAGAACTATGTCATTATCCAACACGGAAATGACTTCCAACATAGTTGGCCTATCTGTTGCATAGTTTTGTACACATAGAAGTCCGATATTTAAGCGTTTTATAACTTGTTCAAGACATGTCTCACCTCGTAATGATGGATCAACAATCTCCCTTGCTCTACCTTCTCCCCACATTTCCCAAACCTGGATTTATCAAAGGAATTAGGTTATTAGATTGTTGAAGAGAAATTTTTAATTTCTAAGTGGTTGATTCTTATAGACATATACTTGCGTGTCCAACCAAAGTATGGCTAATATCATCATACTGACTGCTACATTTTCTTCCGCTAACAATCTCAAGAAGTAAAACTCCAAAACTGTAGATATCAGATTTTGTTCAGAACAATCCTTCCATTGCATATTCAGGTGACATGTAACCACTGTAAATTAGAAAAGATTATCAGATGTTACAAAATTCATTCTACTTTAAAATAGTGGTGTTTTTGCATTGTTGAGTACTTACTAGGTTCCAACAACATTGTTTGTGTTTGCTTCAATCTGGTCTCCACCAAATATTCTAGCCATGCCAAAATTAGAAATTTTTGGATTTAACACAGAGTCTAACAAGACATTACTAGCTTTCAAATCTCTGTGAATTATCCTTAATCTTGAATCATGGTGAAGGTATAAGATTCCTCTTGCAGCACCACAAATGATATCAAATCGTTTGCTCCAGTCTAAATGTAACTTCTTTGCTTGATCTGAACAAAATATTAAAACTATCAAAAGTGAAGAACACTTGATAAACTTCGATATTATAGAACAACAACCAAAAAAAAAAAAAAAACAAGAAGAAAGTTTCAATATTACTTATGCAAAAACTCTTGAAAGAAGACGTACCAAAAATGAAAATGTCCAAACTTTTATTTGGCAAATATTCATAGATCAATATCCTCTCTTTTCCTTGTATGCAATAACCTAAAATCTTTACAAGATTTCTATGTTGGAGCTTTGCCATTAAAGTAGCTTCATTTTTGAACTCTTTAGTGCCTCGTCCAGAATGCTGTGATAGCCTCTTCACTGCTACAGTCATTCCATTTTGCAGTATACCCTGAAGTCAAAAATATTACTTCAATTTCCTATTAAGTGTTACATATAAGGCATGGTTTTAAAAAATATTAATGCCATTGAATTAAAAATGATGTTCATCTCAACGTCGTGAAATTTAAGACCAACTACCAGCGAATGACTACCTTATAAACTGAACCAAAACCACCATGTCCAAGCTTGTTAGCATCAGAGAAATTCTCAGTTGCTGCAATTATATCACTTAGATCGAACAATGATAAATCCGAACCATTTCCTCTATCAACTAAATATCCATCAAGCCTTCTTCTCGCTGTATATTAAAAGAATGGTAAAAGATCAAGCGCAATAAATATAATTCAGCTGCCCTAGAAAAGTGATCTTTTTTTTTTTGTTTTGACAAATTCATAAAAATTTAGCTTACCTTGTTTCTTCTTCTTTGCAAACCAATACACAAAAGTGATCACCAACATTAAGAGGCAAACAGAAACGACTAGTGCGCCCATCCCCTTCTTGCCAAGAGAACTATGAGGCTTGTTTTCATATTTAGCTGCAGAGATAAGAATGATATGTTGAAGAAGACAATACCATTGAAATTTTCTATAAGAATAATATATTGGGAAAATTAGGGAAAGAAAAAGTCTCTGATTGAAAAATTAATTGGAAAATGATATCTGAAATTATATTTTCTATATTTTTTTATATACACATCAAGTACTTACGCTCCTTTGAATTCCAGGTAACCATTTATTAATTAATCTGTTAATCAGGGACTTTTCATTTTCCTCAAAATTTCCATAATATTATATTTTGCAGTTTGGAAAATATGACGATTTAAAAAAAAAAAAAAGAGGTCAAGTTGATTATATTCACATACACATTTTAACAATAAATAATAGCAAAATAATAAGTATCCATATTTTATAGGTGAATTTATAAGGACGCATGTATTTTAAAAGCTAATAACACAAAAATAACAAGTGTTAATATGAAAATTTACAAATCTAATTTACATAATGAGAGCTGATAAAAAACTACAAGTATTGATGGATAAATTTATGAGTACTTATGCATATTTTAACAATCAATAATAACAAGATAACAAGTGTGATTGGAAAAAGTATCAACTAAAGGAGTGATAACTACAATTTAACTAATTTTTTAATCTCAATGAATGAGTTATCTAATTCCTATATTAGGAATTGGAAGGCTGTATGAACTAGCTAGAGGAATAATGATCATACGTCTAAAACATGAATTTAATTTAAAAGGGAAAAATTAATAAAATAAAAAGAAGTGAATATAAGAATTGTACCTAATTCAACTGCATCCACACGAACATACAAATCTTGACCCACACTATTAAATATCCTAATGTCTTCCATGTCAGCATGCCACGTCAGGCAGCCTCTCAGAGTGACCTCATTTGCACTCGCAAATGCTTCACATGAACAATCCTTCGCACACTTCTCTTTACATTCTTCCGAGCTCATGCCAATGCTCTTATCATCCAACTCTACCTTTGATGTATCTGGTAGTTTCGCACGTGGCACTTTCACAAACCCCTCCCCACTTTGACACGTGGACACATCCTTCTTCCTCACGCACCCACCACCCGACCCCTTTCTCATTTCTGGGTTTTCGGATTCAAATCCAGGCAAGCACACACATTGAAACTTGTCTGCAACAACATAATACGAGTCACAGTAACTATTGGACCCGCATCGCCGATAATGGTCACAGTTATCTCTTGGAATGTGTAGGATTTCCTGCCATCTATGGCCTTCGGGTTGCCACGTGTATCGGCTCAAGTGACCCGAATTATCAAGAACCATTCTTGATAACGCTGAAGGATCGTTGAGACTGTACATTATGCTCGTTTCATTTGCATCATCCACGAAGCTAACGTTGAAGATGAAATAGTTTGGGATCATCTCGGGTATTCCGCCCCATCTTTGACCCGTCCAAGACCCAGCCCGATAGATTGGGTCCTCGTTTTTGTAGACGAAGAACTGAGGATAGCCTCTCGGGTCGATCTTATAGCTCATGCTTCCGGGTCTCGGGTCGTCAAGGGATTTCCATGAGGTGAGGAATCTTTTCAATCCGGTCTTCTTATCCAATCCGAGTTTCATAAGCGGAAGCATGGTGTCGCAGGGATAATCAAAACTCTGCCAAAGAACCTTACTTGTGCCATTATTTTCGACCAAAACCAAGTTTCCTGTGTCTAGAAGCTTCGCGAAGGTCTTAGTGGGAGATGATGACGACGAGAGTGAAACATTGGAAGACCAAATGGGATTTGGATTCGTATGGTTGGCAACAAGAACGATGTTCCCATGAATGTCGATTGAGAGAATTCCAGAAGTATCATTAAGAGGGTTGCCTCTGTTGGCAACCCAGACAAGGGTTCGCTCTGAAACTTGGTTGTACCAGATTCCGACGAAGCTGTTTTTGGAATTTTCGTCGGGTGTGAAGAAACCAAGGGCAAAGGTTGTTCCGTCGGAGACCAAAACGTCGCCGTTTTTAAGAGGCTTGCCTGGGGTTATTCTGTTTAGGGAGTGACAAGAAGAAGAGAAGAGGAAGAGAATTAGGAAATGTGGAATATTGATCAGAGTTAGCTCTTTAGCCAGAAGGAGCTTCATGGTGGTGATCGATGAAGACCAGTGAGGGTGTTTAGAGGTTTGTTAATTTCTCTACCAAAACTTCAACTGTCAAACAACTAACAAAGATGGCCGAAGTGGAGGTACATGTGTGATTGAGACACATGAACAAACGTATGAAAAAGGTTATGGTGGGTTCTTTGAAAGTCTTTGGTTCCTTCTTCTGCACGGGTTGCGGTCATCACATAAAAGATAATGACATGAAGGAAAGTATGATACACTTCCTCCTATATATAGATATATGTGTGTGTGTGTATACATATATATATATATATATATATATATGAATGTTACATTCTTAGGCATAGGACTACTGATCCTTTATATGAGTTATTGTTTTGGCTGAAATTTTATGTCTTTTTTTTTTTATTCCCATTAAATGCATGACCGTATATTATTACTCATTTTCTCTTATTTAATAAACTATAAGACTCAATTTTTTCCACTCATATCTCTCTCACTTCTTTCACAAAGAAGGTATATCTTTGACAAAATGATTCATTTCTTGCATATTTATTATTTTTAAACTAATTTTAATTAGCCATCATTTTGACGTAGCTGATTTTATTAGTTGTAACTGATTTCATTGGTTGTAACTTACTCCTTTGGCTCTATTTGATAATGCAAATAAAGAAAAATTTTCTTATTAGTGACATAAATGTACTATTTTGACATTTACGTATTACAATGTAGATAGTTTTTTTTTAAAGGTTTATAACTTTATATATTAAATATGGATAAACTTAAAAAATTGTTATATTTTAAAGAAGAGTTAATATAGTTTATGATTTTTCTTAGTGTGTATAAAACATACTACCTCGAGTCCTTAATATAGGAGTTTATTTGACTTTTATTTTGGTTCTAAATATAAGACCCCAATTCATTTTTTCTCTCATATTTATTTACTTATTTCCAAGATAGTCCTTGTAATAATAGTACTACCTCCGATCCTACTTATAAGAGCTAGTTGACTAATTTGAGGAGATTAAGGAAAGAAGTTAAATTAGTTATTTGTAATAAATAGATGTTGTCTTTCCTAAAATATCCTTGCTAATCAAGTATATTGATTAGAACATCATTGTTAGAAGAATTGTCTTGAAAAAAAATATATAAATATGAGAGACAAAGTGGATTGGAGTCTTATATTTAGGACCAAAATAAAAGTCAAACAAGGTCTTATATTAAATTATATTAAGGAACAGAGGTAGTTGTTCGAATCAATGTATTTGTTAGCAAGGATATTTTATGAAAGACAATAACTATCCATTACAAATAACTAATTTAACTAGTTTTCTTAATCTATTCAAATTAGTCAATTAGCTCTTATATTAAAAATCAAACGTAGCATTAGAAATGTCTTAAATATAAGACCAGAGGAGTAAATATGAAAACCTAGGGCAAGGAATAACATATATAAAGTATGATACACTCCCTCCTACCTATAGATATATGTAGACATATACATATACATATATTTGTTAGAAGATAATGACATCAAGAAAAGTATGATACACTTCCTCCTATATATAGATGTGTGTGTGTGTGTGTGTGTGAATGTTACATTCTTAGGCATAGGACTACTGATCCTCTATATGAGTTATTGTTTTGGCTGAAATTTTTATGTCTTTTTTCTTATTCCCATTAAATGCATGACCGTATATTAACTATTACTCATTTTCTCTTATTTAATAAACTATTAGACTCAATTTTTTCCACTCATATCTCTCTCATTTCTTTCACAAATAAGGTATATCTTTAACAAAACGATTCTTTTCTTGCATATTTATTATTTTGAACTAATTTTAATTAGCCAACATTTTGACGTAGCTGATTTGATTAGTTGTAACTGATTTCATTGGTTGTAACTTACTCCTTTGGTTCTATATTATAAGGCAAAGAAAGAAAAATTTTCTTAGCAGTGGCATAAATGTACTATTTTGACATTCATTTATTATAATGTAGATAATTATTTTTTCAAAGATATATATATTAAATATGGATGAAGTTTAAAAATTATTATATTTTAAGGAAGAGTTAATATAGTTTATGATTTTTCTTTGCATGTATAAAACATACTACCTCCAGTCTTTAATATAAGAGTTTATTTGACTTTTATTTTGATTCTAAATATGAGACCCCAATTCACTTTGTCTCTCATATTTATTTATTTTTTTAAGATAGTTCTTATAATAATGGTAGTTTTAACTAATATACTTGATTAGTAATGATATTTTAGGAAAGACAATAACTATTTAGTACGAATAACTAATTTAACTAGTTTTCTTAATCTATTTAAATTAGACAACTAGTTCTTATGTTAAAAATTAAAAGTAGTATTAGAAATGTCTTAAATATAAGATCAGATTATATATAAAAACCGAGGGCAAGGAGCAAGATAGAGTAGAGTCATTAGGTCCAAGCGGTCATGAAGAAACCTAGCTGAAACGTTTCCTTATCAACGACAAATTAACATTGCGGTCTCAATAAATAACCTTGCATGTGATCCTGATAGAGACGCATCACACACAACTAGAGAGAGAGTGTGAGACCAGTTTTTCTAATTATATACTCTCCCGTTTTTAATATAAGAGCTATTTAACTAATTTGATTATATTAAGAAAGTTAGGTAAGTTAGTTAACTATAAAAAATATGACATGTTTTTCCTAAAATATCATAATCATCTTCCTTAATATCCTCCCTCCCTCTTCTACTTAATTATGGTTAAGGGGGTATGCATAGGGGTAATTTATGAAAAATTGATAAATATGAGAAATAGGTCTTATATTTAGGATCAAAATTAACTCAATAATTAGGTTATATATTAAGGACTGAGGGAGTATTTAGTTTTATGATTCAAATAATATAGAAGCAAAAACACACCTTTAAGAGAAAGATTGGACATCCAACCGGAAAGGTTAGCATCAGGTTACAGTTTTTATAGCTCAACAGTCAAACCAATAATATAATAATTAAATAAAATTATATTATATATGTGTATCAGTACATAATACATGTACAAGAAATAAAATTTAAATATATTAAAAAATAAACACAGATGGTTAGTTTTGGATATTAGGGCAAGTGAGAGAGTTTCAGATTAATGGGAGATGAAGACGCAGAAGAGGAGAAAATACAAATTGTTTACAATAAAACTACCTTTCCAAAAATTTTCAAATCCATTAATCGTGTTATCGAGTAAGTTGAACTTTATTAGTATTTAGATTGATATATAACACAGCCAAGATATAAAATTTGATGATGAATTAGAATATTGTCATTGACACAAGAACTTAGGATCTCTTGTTACTTCCATGATCTTCTTCTACAAACTGGCAAGAGGAATCTAAAACCTAAGGATACATCAATACTTGTATCGTGAACTTATGATGAAGACAACTATTAATCTTAGTGGTCAACCAGTTTCAGAATTGTTTAATTTGCCACAAATCAAATATAATAAATGGAGTAGCAGACTACCTTCGGGAAATTGAAAGATATATTAATTGTTGAGATCATATCAGTCTTTCAAAATTGGCTGCCATCAGTTTAATTTTAACTGAGTTAAGGTGAAGAATAAAACGACTTATTTTTCAAATAAGTAAGGACGATGGTTATTAACAAATATTTCTTTTTCATTTTGGATGCTTTATTTGATTGATTTAGATTGGAAAAAAAATTGTATTTATTTGACTTTGGAAAAATATTTTGAAGTTATGAAAATTTGCGTAACTATGATCTTAACAGATCATTGGCGTTCAGGAAAAAAAAAATTCCACCGTATCTTATCATAATACAATTTCATTTATTTACTCAAAACGGAAATTTTTTCTCTTTAACTATATAAATGCATTCTGGTGTTTTAATAACATTCAAAAATCCATAATGAGACCTCTTAGCTTGATTAAAAGTTTGTTAAAAATGTAAGCTTAAATTTAAATTCTGATATTTCAGCTGGATTTAATGAGATTTCTTTTCTATTAACGTTTAAATGATGGGAATTCGTGTGGATGGCAAAGAGTTCCAATGCTGAGAGGTAAGCAAGTATTTTGAAGATAATTTTTGAGAGGTCAAAATTTTTTAATAAACACATTTTATTGGGCAAGATACAGAGCATTCATGATATATGAATTCAGGTCACATAGGGGGAAAAAACATGAAAATGGAGTTTGGTTAAACTTTAATTCAAAAACACAGTACGCATAAGTTTTCAAACGGATTGCAGGATACATGATGATTTATCACAATTCAACATCAACAATAATAATTCTATCCTTCATTATATATACAAACTAAGGAATCAATAATGAAAAAAGATTGAATATAAGGAGGGATCACGTATCCAAAATGAATAAAGCATAAACAGTCAGAAGGACAACTACGTACATACCCAAGATCACAAACTAGTTCATTTAATTCATATACCCATTAGAAATTAAACAAAAAAGAAAAAAGAAGCAAGAAACTTAATTACACTTGCTTCGCTTACTTTTCTTCCTTCACATAGTACGCAGAATAATAGGTATATGTATTAGCCGAATATGTAAAGAGCCCCAAAAAATCCACACACCAGCAGCTAAAATTTGCCTCCAACTTTGAAAGAAAACTGGATAACTTGATATATGATATCATAGATAAGTCAAATAAAATCACTAACGGACACGAAGCCTCATATAGTTGCAGGATGAACCAAATCCTTCCAAATTGCTCTAACAAAGTAAATATAATAATCAAGATTTAAAACCCAATTAGCTATTCAACGTCCATCTTGCCAATTTGTACAACGCTTTCTACATTATTGAAAATATCATAACCATGTCTATATTTTCGGATATCGAGCAACTTAAATTCATTAGTTGTGAAATTGAACATAAAAGTTTTTCGTCAATCAGTTTGTTTAGATCCAAGCCCTCCCCGGGGGGGGGGGGGGTGGGAGAAAAAGCTCCATTTAGCTTTCTCCCCGCTTCCCTCCATTTACTATCTG